CATACAGACACAGACATAGATATAGACAGACATAGACACAGATATATATAATCATAGACATAGACACCGACACAGACACGTACATAGACATAGACAAAGATACATACACAGACATAGAAATTGACACAGACAGACACAGACAAACGCAAACTTTGGCAATCCGTGCGATCTAAACGATCGCCTTGATAGCCGATGCACCATCCGCATGTCCCGCATCGCACGGTAGTCTACGGCTTCTAGTATGCGTGTCTGCTATTCCTATTCCAATTCCTATTCCTGCGGACCAAATGTCCCGAAGATAGCGCCACCTGACTTACACCTGGTTCACATTTCAGCACCAATACCACACTAAGATCGATGAGTTCTTGGAGAAGGTGTCTCAGCAGATGATCAGAGGTCTCGTTCAGAAGGTGAGCATGCGGGAGCTTGGTCCGTCACTTATGTCCTACCGTCACGTGCGTTGTCACGATGTATAGAGTATATGTTGAGCCGAGACATGTTAGTAATAAGCATTAAATGAATAAGTGCAATGTAAAACGATAAAACATGACCAATATAATAACGATATTATTAATTCATGATATCAATTATTTATTTTTGTTATATTGCGGCGGTATTAATTATCCTGTTTCCGCACGTAACTTACCATACAATACCGTTCCATGTCATAACACACTGTACCGTACTGTGCCATAGCATACGATAATACATCTCATCACTAACTCGAGGACACTCAATGGAAGACTCATCGTATCTGCTGCCAATATATAAACATCACCTCTTATGTAAACATCAACCACTATAATGTATACATAATGTAATATATGTAAACATCGTTGTCGTCATAGTCATCGTCGTCGTCGCCGTCGTCGTCGTCATCATCGTCGTTGCCATAGTCGTCATCATCAACGTTGCCGCCATCATCATCGTTGTCGTCATAGTCGTCGTCGTCGTCGTTGTCGTCGTCATAGTCGTCGTCGTCGTCGTCGTCGTCATCATCGTTGTTGTCATAGTCGTCATCATCAACGTTGCCGCCATCATCATCGTTGTCGTCATAGTCGTCATCATCATCGTTGTCGTCATAGTCATCATCAACGTTGCCGCCATCATCATCGTTGTCGTCATAGTCGTCATCATCATCGTTGTCGTCATAGTCATCATCAAC